TATCATTCAAAGCCCAATCAGACGGAATAGTCGCCGCAGCCCACGATCCCACACCACGGACACAGTCAAGACAGCGCACAATCTCCGCTCCGGTCTCGGTGACTTCCTCCACAGCGCAGCCAGAGCAGATTTTCCTCCTCGGTGCCTCGCTAGTATCGTAGCTGGCGTCGTCGGTTGAGCTCGTATGAATGTGCATATGCACTTCTGGAAGACCGACTGTCCCACCGCAGGATGCGCTGTCGCATTGTCGGAGACAGATGAAGCATGCCCGTTCGTGGCAGAGATCACAGTCTGCGTAGGCGTCGAGGACTTGGCGGGTTGTTGGGCGGCGATGACAGATATGGCAGGGACGGAGCGCGGAAGGGGAGGCGGATTGTTGAGTTGGGTAGTGCAATGGGACGAGGGTTTTTGGGGAGACCGGGGGTGAGTATGGGTCTTGGTTCAGGGTGCCATAGACGTTTGGGGACAGGTGGGTTGGGGACTGTTGCTGTTGGCTTTGGTGTTGATGTTGATGCTGGTGCTGGTGGGATGGCAGTGTAAGATAAGGGCTTTGGACATGTCGGCGCTTGCGAGGGAGACATCGTGGTCGGAAGGAGATGTCTGTTCCGTCTGGGTGTCGTGATAGAGGCAGTGAGCAGCCACCGTCGTATTCGGGCCGATCGACTCGGCAGGATGGGATATATGTTGTTCTGGTGATCATGTTAGTCTATCCATCGACCCCGAGAGAAACATCGTTAGACTTACGGACGTGTTAGAGTCTTAGGCTCCTCATGGTCCCACTTGCGTTTCTTCCATGTTGCCGTTATCGAGTCGGTCTGCTCGGGCGAGAACCCTGGCATTGGTGGTATGCCGTATGTATTCAAGCCAATTTGAATATATTATAGATGGCTAGGAACGCAAGGAAACCTCGAGGGAAGTCTTCGAGTGAAGTGAAGCTGACGAGGAGATCCAAACAAAAGAAAGCCCAGATGTTGGTCGGGCGGTGTGCCGATAGGAGCGTGTTATCGGCACACGTTCACGTGGCGATTGGCCTTAATCGATGTTTTGAGATTGTTTTTATATACACAAATATATATATCAACTATATATATACAAAACTAACCAAACAAGTCAGGAAAGATTGCAGCCATACCAAAAGTTCCTTTACTCCTTTTCCCGAGTTACCGGAGACCCAACACCATCCAAACGAGCCTGAATAGTCCTCTCGTCAAAACGCCCACTGTCACCCACATAATTGTGTAGAACCTCATAGGTCATAAGCCGCCGAGGTGCTTTGCGACCTGTCATCAACTCAAACTGAGCAATGCCCTGTTCGGTTACATTCTCCAATCCGTCAGACAAGACCCAAGGTCGCCCAGTCTCGCTCCGGACTCGGCGCATTTGTCGTAAAAGTGGTGTATCGAGGGGTTTATAGGCCAACTATATCCAATTAGTACGTGTGACAAGAAGCACACACATCCCGGTGGAAAGAAAAAGCTCACCTCGAGTACCACACCTCCTGTAGGACTCCCAAGCCACTGCACGGGCATCTCAAAGTTCGCCGGTGGTTCATCTCGGTCTGGATCAGCCGGTACACAAGACGCAACGAGACTAGGCTGAGCAGCATCCGCCGGCCAGTCTTCTCGAAGCGACTGCAAGACACAAACCACCTCAGCCGAGTCCACCTGCGACGATGCCCAGGAGTTGAAATGGCGCGCGACTTCCTCGGCACGCGACTGCGTGCGGTTGTAGATGAAGATTTTCCGACACCCAAGTCGGAGCATGGCATAGATGGCGGCCCGTGCCATACCACCCGCACCAATGACTAGGCCTGTCGTTTTCGCGCTGATTGCGTTACGCGGCGAGAGATGTCGCCTTATGCACGTCATTATCCCGACCCAGTCAGTGTTCTCGCCGTACCAACCCAGCACACGCCCGGCTTGGTTGCGTCGGCTGGCTTGTTCTTGGAGCGGGAACATTGTTCCGTCTGCGTGTCCACGGAGCGGCATGATCGTGTTGATTGCCCCGATGGCTTCGGCGTGTCGGCTCTTCGAAGCGAGCTTTTCGTATACCTGTACGCGCCATGGCTGCACGACGCTGGATCCCCCGAAGTGCGGATCTCGGCCCAGTCGGTCTAAGACTGCGAGAGAGGGTGAGTCGGGGATGCTGTAGGTGTGGCCCATACCGCAGTGTTGGTGTGCGGCATTGTGCATTGCCGGGGATAGACTGTAGGTGACGTTCTCTCCGTAGATGTAGAACTTGAGCGGGTCGAGCACGTAACTCTGGAAGAGTGCGTGGACGGCGTCGCGAGAGGTTATTTGCGGGTCGTGTTTATTCTCTGTGGACTGGGTGATCGCAGGGTGTGTTACTGCAGTGAGGATCGAGTTGAACACTTGTGAGGTGCGACCCAGGGCGCCAATATTATAGGCGATTAGCGGTGGGTGATCTCCCGGGAGCGATCGGATTTTACTGGAGAATTCAACCACAGCGGCATTTTCCTCGCGCTTCGTTGCGACCCGGAGGAGGCGGACGAGCTGACAGCCGAGCTTTTCAGCTTCATTATAGATGTCGACGCAACCTGCGCTCTCCCATGTAGTGGGGGAAGATGGTTCAAAGACCTGCTGGCCGATGATTTTGGTATTCCCACGACCTTTGATAGTCCCAGCCAGCCGGGATCGGTCTTGGGTCAGGTCCACAACAAGATATTCTACACCCAGGCGTAGAGCATGCTCGAGTATATCAAAGTAAGACCGAGAAGAAGAGGTGGCTGGTTCCGGGGAACCGATGCCGGTGGAGGAGGTGTCAACGGAGAGAATCACAGGCGTCCGCGCATTTCGACGCAGGACAGCGACCTGTTTTCTGACAGTGGCTGCCATATCTGGGTTCCAGCGATCGATACACAGCTCGATAGCATCTCCACCAGACTCGAGCTCAGTCAGGTTGACATTGTCGGCGATTAGGTCTGAAGATCGCACGAAGATCGCATGGGTGAAAGAGCGTAGTTCTGGTGGCGTCTCTAGCAGAACGAACGGCGAGTCATAGCTCGAACAGTTCACATCGAGTCCAGTAATGAACTGCACAAACCGCGTGAAATCCTCTTTCACCTCTTGCAACTTGAAAGAATAATCCGCAGACCGGCGATCTGGGCTCCCATCGTCCAACGCACGCGTCCGGTCTTCAAGATTATAGAATTCGAAATTCGAACACATCCGGTGCATCGGGTCGCCCTCGCGGAACAGCCGCACTGCCTGGTCCTCCAAACCAAGCAATTGCTGAATGTGATCGATATCGCGCAGCAGATGGACGACGGGGTTGGACCGGGCATAACGACGCAGATGATCCTGCACTGGTCGCGTCAAACTGGCCAGCCCGCACTCCATGACGCAGCCCGTGCGATGGTTATCCAGCATCATCTTCAGGACTTCGATGTCCCGGCGCTGGAATTCCTGGCCGCCATACCGCTTGAGGTATTCCTGTCGCGTGACGCCCGTGACTTCTCGAAAGTAGTGATCTTCGGTAATGAAGCGTCGCTTCAGCGCGGTCGCGGCGACGAAGCCTAGCGAGCGCTTGCCGCATCCGCGGATGCCGATTAGGACGAGGGATGCATTGGGAGCAAAGGTGCGAGGGGCGGACTCCGGGCGGAGCATGGGAGAGGATTCCTTGGTGGTATATGCGGGGATGTCGGACTTGGCGTCGGCCATGGGAGGAATGGAGGGTTGAGGATCGAGCATGGTGAGAGACGATGAATCAATTGGGGTCTATGTCGAGGGAACGAGCGCCATGATCAGAAGCACTCAAGGCATAGAATCGCATCCAGAGATCGAATGTGGGATATTGAGAAGAGATGAGCGGGACTTCGTGAATAATCGATAGGGCAATGTAGTATAGAAATGGTCTAAACCCTAAGTATATTAGTAGATCAATACCCCAGATGATAATGTTCAAACGACAAATGTCCCCCGGAATGAGAGGATCTGCTAAGTTGCCGGCCAGATCCCGGCAAAAGGCTTTTCCACCAGATCTGGGATCATTTACCGGAAGCTGGAAGGTTGAGACACTCTGTTTTTATAGATCCCTTTACATTTAGCTGTTTCAAGTGAGATATAGACGTCGAAGTGCAATACCTCAGTCACACACAGGAAATCATTTGCTGAACCAGAAGAGTCATGGCGAATGAGAGAAAACCCCCAACCTCTTATCTTCTTTCCGCTCCGGTTATGGATTGGCAAGAAACTCTTTGCGGCAGACAAACTCGGGCCGCATGGTGTCCAAATCAGCTCTGGTAGAATTATCAAAGGGTCTTGTCATATGCCGGAGCTAGAAGCCTTGAGATACATCGCTGAGCACACGTCAATTCCTATCCCCAAAGCCTTCACCACCCACTATCATGATGACAGGCTCTATATCCAAATGGAGTATATCCGCGGAATGAGCCTCGAGAAAGCATAGCACCGCGGCTATCTATCGCAAAATCAAAGAAGCACATGGAGACTAGAACCTCCGCAAGAAGGAATAGTTGCATCAGAGGATGCCTGGATGCCTGGATGCCTGGATGCCTGGTCAATTACTAAACTCGTCAGGGAAAATAAAAGATATCTAATCTATTTCTAGCAGTCCTATAGTTACAGAGTACTTCAATACACAAATTCAAAGTACCTTCAGAATGTTGTACAATCAGTAAACAGAAAGATGTGGGATAACTGTGGGGAGGTGGGGATCCCCCGATAATTCCGAGTGCCTTCACATCCCGAACTTCGCGTCCGAGATCCTCCTTCGGCCAACTGTGACCTTTTGCCGTGGAGGCTAATTACATGGTTGGCATTAGACTCTGCTCCTCCACTTTTCCATTGGCGGTACTCTTCTTCTCATTCCGAGTATCGGCCTGTTTCTTATACGGCCCGAGCCTATATTACTTTCAATTTGATTCGATCCAGTGAACTCCTAATTGAAACAGAGCTAGAGCTGCTGGTCCCCTTATTTCCTCTACATGGCGCGTCAGCCCGTGCTAATAACTCTGCTTCATGGATGAGGGATCAGATAAGGCCCCTCGGCGCAAGAGGGTCTCCCGAGCTTGCGATCGCTGTCGCAGTAAGAAAGTGAGTCGCGTCCGGCCATACTCTTTTCCCTCGCATATCTCATTTGCACAATCTAACGTTTCGGCGATCTTAGGATAAATGTGACGGCATTCGTCCCACTTGTTCCGCCTGTCAGACATCGGGCCAATCCTGCTCCTATGACCCCCATGCGAAGAAACGCGGTCTCCCCGAGGGCTACGTCCGTGGGTTGGAAAAATTGTGGGCGCTGTCGATCTGCAACATTGATGGGTTTGAGGATACCATGCTGGCCATGCTAGGAAATACCGCCGGGTCCGCCAGTCGCCGCGAGAAACTGATGTCCGTGTGGTCAGACGATAGTACCTCGGAGAGTTTACACGAATCTTGGAAAACGAGTCGACTGTTCGGCGCGCTGGAGAAAATGCTTTCTAGTTCAGATGCGCCGGGACCGGCGACCGGGAAGCGATTGCGTAACCCGCAAGATGATGGCCCCGACGGTCAATGGGGGTTTCGAGTAGCTCGCACTTCTACTCCGCTCGGTCCGGGTGCTCCGAGTGTAGTTGAGCCCTTTCCCGCATCGCCGGGGGTAAAGCGGGTTCGATTGTCGAAAGAGTCGGATGGTCGGGGTATCGCTGGACCCAGTTCCCATACGCTGCAGTTGCCGCCTCAGACGTCGCAGCTGCTCGATATCTACTTTGCGATCACGCATTCATGGTTCCCCGTGGTCGCCAAGCATAACATTCTTCGCGCTTCTTACCTTTATGCCAACGCCCCTTTCTCTGTTGCCACGGCTTCACCTGGGTCCGGCGATCACGCCGCTCTGTGGGCAATTTTGAGTTACACCATCATTCAATCGCGAACAATTTCACGGGCCGGTCCCGCTGGAACAGTCGCTCTGGCGAAGGAATACTACGCCGTCTCGCGAAACCTCATCCCCACGGAGAAAGAGCGCCATGAACATGGTCATATTCAGGCATTGCTGCTGCTGAGCTTAGTGAACATGGGCCTGGAAGATTGGACCGCGGCTTGGCTGTTGAGCGGCCAAGCAGTGCGCATGGCGATTTCCATGGGTCTTGGAACTGTGTCCGACAGCCGGCGGTCGGATGAACTCAGACAAGGTAAGGCGGTCTTCTTGGGATGCTTTATAGTTGATTCATTGCTGTCTTTCCGTCTTTCACGGTATCCAGCCATGCCTCCAAGCGACCTTACTGCGGTAGGTCTGTTGGAAGAGGATGGATTGGAGGAGTGGAACTCCTGGGTGGACGTTTTACCACCCACGGGTGCCCCACAGGGCAGCAAGAACTCACCGCGCCGAGGACCACTCTTGGCCTTGAGCTGCTTCAACCGGTTAGTTGAGTTGGCGGGCGTTCTCAACAAGGTCTCCCGCCACATATCTTCGGGATACAATATAGCCACCTTTGCGCAGCAATTGGTCGTGGAGCTTAAGCAATGGGATGACTGTCTACCTCTGGGATGCCGCCTGATTGGACCGGAAAGCATCTATCCAGAGCGGCATTCAGCCTTGCTTCCCCATCAGAGTTACCTAGGGCTGACCTATGTAGCCACCTTGCTTTGGCTCTATTTGCAATTGATTTCGGGTGAGCAGGGTTTGCACCGTTCACAGCGCCCGGCCACAGAGGGGGCCAAGAAGCTCCTCTACCGAGGGCTCTCTATACTCACCCAGCACTTAGAAAACTTCTCCATGTGCGGTCTTCCACCGCTGTTTGAGCTAAGTCTTCGCACAATTGCGGAGCAAGCGTTCAGACTTCGGACTACTGCCGACTCATCGGACACCTTCCCCTTTGCTAGGTGGGCAGATGAGCTCCGACACAAAACGACAGCTTTCACCTCCACATGGCCGGCCTATGGATCTTTGGTTTCTACCATGGAGAGGTGGCAGCACTCCAAAGATGTTGTTGGGGGGCCATCCACTTTCCCCGGGGCAGTCGCCCTTCCATTTTCGGGTGTACCCATGCAATCCCAAGGCGGAGCTCGCAGTCTACCCCAGAACGGCGAAGGAGATTACACCTCTTCTATCCTTGGCATCAGTATGCCAGTGGATGGGCGGTCTTTGACCCCAAAAGACACCGTAATGGAAAACGCAGATCTAGGCATGATGGACGTGCCATTACACCACCCGAGGGAAGTACAATCAGCCATACCAGACAAGATCACCCCGCGCAGCAGAGCAGATTCCGTGTATGGCACACAGCATCAACAACCACAACCCCAAACTCCCGACTCGACAACCTCAAACCCAATGATGTCTGGGAACATCGACGCCATCTTCAAAGACCTCGCTTACCTGGACACCACTGAATGGTCCACAAACCGCGAGGCCGGTCTGAAGGACTTCGGATTCTTGGACGATAGCACATTCCAGGCTTTCTGCCACGATCCCGATCGCTTAGGCGGATCGCAGCCACTGGTTCATCCGCCTTCCATAGCGGATATTTGGCCGCCGCCTGGGTTCTTCCCAGAGACGTTCCAGGAAGTTCCCGAGGAGTCTATGGGCGGCTGAGAGATCTCGGTATGATCTCGCCAGCTAGCTTTTAGAGACCATGTTATTTTGGTCTACTCTTATCTCCCTTGAAAGGCCATCGCTCGTTTTGGGCATCCCATTGGCCTCCTGGGCTGTTTATAAACTTCCCTGTTGTTCCGGACACAGTCGTCATGGGACCCGTGGGTCTGTTTGGTTACACAATAGCCACCATCACAATCTAAGTCTTATGCTTAGTACCAAATCAGCCCACGGGAGATTCATCTCGGTGGCTCATACTCCAACTGTCACACCCTCCATACAGGGATAAGACTCTTGTTCGTCCGGCCTCACGGGAGACTGAATGCTATCAAACTATGTACATATACCCACTATAGGATCACTCGAAGTCCAGCACATCTATACAAGTGTAGTGGCTGAAGCCATGCTACAAATGAAATATTTTATTGAGAATATCACACAACACTCAAATCGTAAAGTAGACATTTTCCATACAACTCTTGACATCTTGCTATTCTATCTCTATTCAATGCACCACAACCCACATCTCCAAATTCCCAAAAATCCTCTACCACACATTCCCAGAGGTCTGCTCCCTCTTCAACTTCTTGACATTAACATTCCTCCAGAACCAGGTACAAAGAATACAAAGCGGCACAAAACAGACCCCAACAATCGCCATCTTCCTCTGAACATCAGCATAAGCCCCGACAATAGCATCTCGCTCCCCTGTCCCATCCTCATACGACATCTGCATCACCAAATCCGCAAAGATGCTCGCCGAAAGTTGCTTACTCTCCTGCGGCAGCCGGTTATACAACTCTTTTTCGAGGATATTATTCCACATCCCGCCGGCAATGGCAGATCCCACCGCGGCTCCAATCGACCCGAACAATCCCCAGATCGCTATCACCACTGCGATCTCTTGGTGTGTTACCATTGCCATTATGGCTAATTGTCCGCACACAGTGAACAGGCAGCTGCCGAGTCCTACGAGGATTTGAATCATCGTTAATACCCCCACGTGTGTATCTGGCGCGCGGAATGGGACCAGAAGTGCTGTCCCTAAAAGGAAGATTGGGACACCTGCCATAGCGGTCCATTTGAAGTCACCGGTCCAGCTTATTACTCTGGGAGGTAGGGGAGGTTTGTTAGACTTTGCATAGGAAACATGTTTGGTGTGGTGGGGTGTGCTCACAGGCCGAAGATGGGGCTGAAGATGAAAGAGGTCAAGGAGAAAGCGTTGAGCACGTAGTTGGCTGTCGTGATGTCAAGCCTGTTGACAACTTGTAGGTACGAGCCGAAGTAGCTGTTCCAGGTACTGATTTGCGGGTGTTAGTGTGTTGCTGGCTTTGGTGGTAACAGCTGGAAAGCGACAGGCACTCACAAGCAGGAGATGAACATCACGCCGTACAGCATGGATGAGCCGATCATCGTTGGCTCTTTCAGGTACTTCCATGGGAGGAATTGTACTGGTGAACCATATCGCTCCCAGATGTAGAATGCGGGCACGCACGCTACGCCGAGCACTTCCATGGCGATGATGTATCCGCTTGCCCATCCCTTGGGGCCGTAGGAGGCGATGCTAAATGGGATTAGGATTAGGGAGAATGCGGCTGTGATCAAAATGATTCCGATAACTGGGCAATTTACACCTCGTTAGCCACATGTCAAATGCAAAAGAAGCTCTATATATGGATGGGTATGTACCATCAAACTCGATGAGATAGTGAGCGATAGACTGCCACCAGACACGTCCAGAACGAACCTTCTCGAGGCTACCGCTCTTCTCAGCCCGACGTTGCATAAATAGCATTATCGCGGCCACGGGAATACAAACCCCAACCTGCATGATAGCGAATGAGCCGAATGCCCAATGAAAGTCGAGGTTGGTGTAGAAAAGGTTAGCGATTTCCGGGCCTGCAAAGGTACTTGCAATACCGGGTGTACCGTTCAGGCCGATCATGATCATCCGGTTCTTAAGCGAGGTCATATCCGCCAGCATGATTTCCACAACGTAGGTCAGACCGATGTGGCCTACCCAGTATAGAGTGTGTGCTGCGGTATACATCTCCATGCTTGTACATGTAGCTTTCATGATCAACCCGATCGTGACAAAAAGGAGCATAATTAGGAATCCCTCCACACGGCCCCAGATGTCGATGATCTTGGCTAGGGTTAGCTTCGATGAGCCGCCCAGAATAGTTGAAACGACGCTGACGACTGGCAAGAGGCCGTGTTTGTGGAATGAGGATGTAACGTAGGGGTTTAGTGCGCTTTGGACTGAGCCTAGGAGTGCGTCTACAAATGACACGAGGTAGAGCCTGTATTTCGGTGGGACGTTAGTTTCTACTTCCTATTACTCTGGGCAAGGGGGTAAGAGGGCAGTTGTTAATCAAGATCAAGACTTACAGAACGAACATGAGAATGAGCGTCTTAGTCGACCATGCCAATGTAATGGCTCTCACTCGCCGCACACCACCCTGGAACTCGCTCGAGTCTCGAGCAGACAGGCTTGCCTTGTCGTCAGGTGGATTTTCCACGCCCTGATGAACTCTGAATTCCCTCATTTTCTCGGCATCACGGCTAGTATTGGCCGGTGTGACCTGATCAGATACGGTTGTCTTTTCCATTATAGTTGAATAGAGACAATTGGAGGGACCTTGCAACTATCTTGAAGAAAAGTATTCAAAAGGCCGGCACCGGAGGAAGATAGTTGATCATATTATATGGAGAGAATTCCCATCAATTACTTCCTATCAGATCATCTGATAAAAATTCGCACCCTCATCGTCCAATCAGCAAGGAATTCGACCTCTTTAGCGTCGTAGTAAGGTTTCGCCCCATGGGCCATGGACCGGGAGTGGCTCAACCAAGAATAGCAATATCAGACCCCGGTCTCAACTTCCACCTCGATGGACCCTGAATTGAGGTTGGAAGTTGCGTTTACAAGTCGATATGAAGACAAGATTTCTGTCTTCGCACGGAATGTGGCAAGAATATCGAGTGAAATCCCTTACCAATGAGGTAACCGTTGGCCTCGCGTCGGAAATTGCGTGAATGTCGGAAGTTAATCAAAGATTTGGTCTTGGCCTTGGTCTTGGGGGCCGGTGCATTCATCAATAGCAATTACATACATACCCATATCTTACCTTCGCTGCTAGAGATTGTGCCGCCTATCCATATAGATCAGACTGTACATGTTCCCTGAACTATATCTGGTCTCTTCCTAGGGTAAATTCAATGCTAGTATGTCAATGCAATCTCCGGCCGCAGCTTCGGTGAAGATGAAGCCAAGACAGACGCCAAGCAGGAGAGATCTGCATTGTTGTCTAGCATTTGGACTTGGCGTAAGTGGATCTTTCAGGAGAGGGCGGTTCGTGCATCTTGATAAAACTTCTTTACCACCATGGTTTGACTTGAATCAAGGATTGATACCTTTCCTGGGTTTCTTGGTTTTTCGTGAAGTCTGGAATCGTTTACAGTAAGAATATCAGCCCAGAAACGGCCGGCTTTGCGTAACTTTAGACGTCCAGCTGCGCCTAGGGGCCTGACACGTTTACGTCTAGGCATGACTCATTCTAACAAACTGATAACCGCAGCTCTCTAAATGACAAGGACTTGTACCTGCAGGTAGCTGGGGGGCTCTGGTGCTTGATTTTAGGAAACACCAAGGTAGCCGCCTATAGCAACGAACAGAGAACCCTAGTGGTCGCCAACCAGTCTCAATCGAAGGCCACCTCAGATTTGCTAAAAAAAAAAAGGAAACATCGGTAGCCCATTAACCACCCACAGCAACACCATAGCCAGAAGGCTTCTCCCATTTCATGAGCATTGCCGCAACGAACATAACGGTTCTAGCAACGGGAACTAGCACAAAGGTCATCCGCATTGCCTGCGATATGGCATCAATTGCTCGATCCCGCAATGTACCCTCCAGCTCCTTAAACGATGTACTCTGCGTATTGGCTACCACACTCCAAATTTCTGAGTAGGAGTATCCGCGACCAGCAAGAGTAGAATGCGGATTTTCAACGGCCTGCTGTCAGTAGATTTGTCCTGTGGCAGCAAGTGCAATAACTTGACCACTTGCTACTGCAGCGAGGATTGAAAGCCCATAGATAGTTCCCGCTTTCGTGCTGGGTTTCAAATAAGCCACCAGGGAACCACCACCAACCAACAGGAAAACGCTGGCAATAAGGAAGATGGCTTGGTAGAGCTTATTAATATAGAGAAATGATAGGGCTAACAATCAGCATTCATATTTGGTGTAGCGCCACAGAGAGCCAATCGGCCTCGAAAAGCACTACGGTTGCAATGTAAACCCATTTATATGGAAGGTGTTGAAAATGGGGCCGAGTACGAGAATGAGACATTCTGAGATGGAAAACCGGCTCCGATCCAGGAGGATTGGTTTGGCATGACCGAATCCCCCGATGACTGCGCTTGAATGTGCCGCGATTGTGGTCTTTAGTCTGTAGAGAAAGTCAGTGATGTAAAGTCAGACAAATATAGTAACACAAATCGACAGCTTCAACTCGACATTCTATCTCTGGATTTTCAACTTATTTACAGTCGCACCCCGTGCCGCAAGTGCATCCTTCATTCTCACGTAGGGCTTCACCGCCAAGAGTGCCTGTGTCGCCTCCTTGGTCGAGATCTTGGACTGCGATACACGCGCGCTTTGTTGAACTGCCGACGCCCGTGGTCGTCGAATGCTGTCCCAAACCCGCAGTTGGTCCGGGATCAAGTCTCCGTTGGAGAGATTCTCAAGGATGGTGTGGAGCCCTTCCACATCTTCTAGGCATTGATTAGCTCCCTGTCCTTGGTATGGGACCATTGGATGAGCGGCATCCCCGATCAAAACGGCCCGACCGTTAACATAACTAGGCAAGGGCTCCTGATCACGGACTTGAAAGAGCTCAACTTGAGACATGCGGCTATTTCAACATTTATTGTGAGCTTCAGAACAAACCGTTCGGTCAGGCACTGAAAACTTACCCATATAGGCGTCCCAGCCACTCGGGGAACCCGCGGACATTGTCCACCAACTCCTCCACGCTACCCTTGGCATTCCAAGAATACTCGAGACGGGCTGGATTCTTCAAGATTGAGTCGGGGACCGCACAGGCAACACTCATAAACCGATGCCCACGGCAGGGCAGCATCACAACGTTGCGGTTACCTTCATCACCCGCGGCAACAATGGCGATGAAATATCCCTCCTCGTAGTTGAACATATCCGGCATGCGACCTTCAGCTGCCATTGACTCCTTGAAGACTTCCATAGGAATCATAAAACGATACACAGAGAGTCCGCAAGGGGCAGGCTGAGGGTGTGATGGCGGAATCATTGCGGTACGAACTTTCGAATGGATACCGTCGGCGCCTGGATGAGAGTTTTATTCATCAGCTTTCGGTAACATTGCAATTGGCCTCGTTGCCTCGTCCACTAATCCTTACCAATGATCAAGTCCACGTCGACTGAGGCCCGGTCTGTAAAATGAATACGCCCGGCTTCAGGGTCAACACGCACAATGTGACTACCGTAAATAACCTGAATCGGCTTTCCCTTTCCTTCCTCGCTCGTCGCTCGACGAAGCAAGGCATCTTTCAAATCCTGACGGAACACAAACCACAAATCCCCGTCCCCGTCTGGTCCATTACCCAGCTGGGCTTTGCTCATCAGCTCTTCCCGAGTGTTGTATATCCTATAACCGGCCCCAACAATTCCGTTGATCTCCTGTTTAGTGATGCCTAACTGCTTCACGATGGAGATACCGCTTCCTCGGAGACCAAATGTGGCGGAAGTCTCTTTAAAGTCTGCAGCTCGCCGCTCATAAACAGTGATACTGTACTGTGGGCACTTGCGTAAAAATGCTGCGGTGGCAAGGCCAGAAATTCCGCCGCCGATGACCGCAACTCGCAATTTGCAAGGAGATGAAAGATTTTGTGACATATCCGTAGAGTCTAGTGCTAGAATGAATTTAGATTGTTAACAGCCCTGGAGTTTGGAATAGTAGAAGGCTATATAATTATACCCAGAACTATGCTGCTGAAAGCTAGAGACATATATACACGCTCAGTCCCTTTGCACTGCGGACAAGTCCGAAGCCTCAGCCGCAATGCAAATCTAATCATGCGAGTCAGGTAGCACTTGATCTCATCAATTGCTTGCTTTATCGCTCTTATGCGTCAGTTATGTCTCAGGCTAACCCAAGTGGATATTCCAGCCGTGTATAAATTCGTGTCTTGACTTCCGGTAAGTTGATCCACCGGCATCATCATCCCTCGAAGCATGTCTGATATCAGCGAGCCCTTCCAGCCTACTTACGTCTCAGACCGGCAGATTTCCAACTAGATCCCTAGCCTTACTGTCGACACTGTATGTCCATTATCCATGTACGCCTTGCGTCTAGCTGTCAACGTAATCCGTGCTAGCGACCTCGGGACTGTGACTCGACAATTGTAACATCCGCCGATTGGATTGCCGATCCGTGCAATTTACCCTTGACAAGCTTGATACACTATCTACCTCATTGAGGCGTCCTACCTTTGACTCTAGAGCAGAAGGCTTTGGTACTATCTACTTGAAAAAAAGCCTTCTTTGGCCGTTTCAACTGGGTCACCCATACGTGCAATAATCAGAAGACTACAGTTTACTCCGACGGCCGCACAGGTGGCATTATCCGGCCTAGTGTCGACGGCCAAGAGATAGTCATCCGCGAAGCTTCCCAAATTGCCGGTGGCCTTTCTTTCGCAGATACAAATTACTTTGAATGCCACGGAACAGGAACATATGTTGGAAATCCGATTGTAGTTTTCACCGTCGGAAGGGTTTTTGCATCGGAGCAAGCTAAAGATCCTCTACTAGTAGGCCCCGTCAAGAGTAATACCAAGCGTTGGGAGCTTGACAATGAATGGTCATGCCAATTTTTACGATAATCTTCACAAAAATAGGTTCGGAATTGTGGATCAGAATTGATTCTTTGGCCGTTTTTCCTTGGGGCAGAGACTTGGATGCCTAGGTATGTATTATTAGGACAGAGGTAGTATGTCCTGAAACTAGAACACTCTTCGATTAGTTCTCGGACCCTAATAATAAAGTCACACTCATCAACTTGACGTTTATTGTTCTCTAACGCATGTACATCCATGAATATTCGCTTGTAAACCCAATACATCCACCTCTATACCCCTACCTTCAAAGAAATCTCCCACTTCATCCCTCCATCTCCATCCACAGCAGCAATCTGACTTTTCCCAGGACTATCTAAGAAGGTTCTTTTTCGAGATTATATGACCACTCTGCTGGCTCCCAGTATATTTAGTCCTAGCGTCGTAGATAGTTTCTTTCCTCTCTTCTCGCAATACAGAGTTCTTCCAGCATACTCCCACATTCCATACTAGTCCCTGAACTTCATCTCTAACCTTTCTAGACTAAGGGCTCGCCTGTGAGCCTTATTCATGCAACTTCGGACCTTGTCTGTGTCTTTATGATCATGGCCTAGCGTCTTCTCGCGCCCCTGAAGAGCTTGTTGAAACATGGCTTCTACCTCTTCGTACCGTTTCTGGTGATAGAGCGAGACACCAATCTGGTGCTGGCTTTTAGATTCAATGGGATAGAGTTCAAAGATGTTGAATTTACCTTGGCCTTGCATAACGGTGGATATAGCAGTTTGTAGAGTAGAATGTACCTTCTCGTTTTGTGTCATAACAGTCTTCCCTTTGGCAGCATTCAACATATCCACTGTGATGGTTGAACTAGGCATGCCATGGAAGACACCATTCGGTGCTTCTGAAGGAGGATTTTTTATTCTATGACGCAAACTCTTCGGTCATTGTCGTAGGTGGAGATAGAACTTGTGGCTCGCTTCTAATAGATCTTGTGGACTCGGGGGGTTAGAATATTAGCGATTGTATCCACACGTTTGGTATGGCAGATATAGCCGTCATTTCGATCATGAGGGTAAGTTAAATACATATAAGGGAAAGCACAAAGTCGATTTCTGGTTGACTAACACTAGCTTGGTAAGTATGGTGATTGGGAAGTGCTGCTACACTTTGTAACTTTCGAGCGAACGGAAGTCGCAAACGTAAGTTCCTTAAGATCTCAAAACCAATCACTCTAAGCGCCTAGATATCAGTGATATACGCTGCGTCGTTTAATGAACCCCTAAATTCTCGGATATAATATTCCGGCGTACCCTATATATATAGATAGGTGAAAAGGTCGCCGATTTCGAGGTACTCCATTGATATAAAGAGCTAGCTAGGCCCTTCGTACCATCCACATGACTTGACAAAGCATCGTTTATACTACTTCAATCACTATATATCCCCGTAATCGATCTTCCTTTTAGGGTTACCGTGAGAATGCGAGAACTTAGCAATTACCTCCAGCTGACGATTGTAGTCAACTGGCCCAAATCGCCTATCTATGTCAATCTGCTTGATTGCTCGGATTGCAACCTCTTAGGCTGTAGCCCGGCCGCCCACCTTTGGTATACTTCTCCAGCCGAACGCCATTAAACCCACCCTTTCCAATCTTTTCTTGTCGCCGCCCATGCTTTGATCTGGTCACAAGGCGCAGCTCCGAAGTTGGGTCTGACTCCTGGAATCTGTGGACTGTCTCCGCTGTATAGTCTGGGAGGAAATATATTTCTAGCTTAGAATCTGGAATGAGGTCTGAGATTCGCGCCATTTAGACGTTACTGTGAACAGTTCACGTGAGTGTTTGTCCCTGCTTCACCTGAAAAGCAGCCTAACCCTTGCAAGTCACCTGACATAATATTATTATGGTCCCTAAAGTGCTGTCTGACCTAGGGGCCTAACTCTTATTATAGATCACTCCATAAGTTACAGCTAATTGAGTCTGCCCACTCGTATTAAAGCTGCATCATGTTATATTTATCTTGCTCGGCCGCGGGTATTGGTTATGCCAGTCTACAACTTAGCTAATTAGGGACTTGCATATATACTTGCGTAGATGTCCACTCACTGGTTGGGGTTCATGTATGCCGCAGTGTCTCAGTATACTTCAGGCCATCTAGAGAGATAAAAATAAATCTAGAAAGATATAAATACTACGTCCCCTCGCTGTGAATCCTTCATTTACATCCACATCTCGTAGTATATCAGATATCTTTCTATCAAGTCAATATGAAATTCACTGTCGTTCCCCTTCTTCTGGCTGCCAGTGCGGCCCTCGCTGTCCCCATCGTTGAGCGCGACAGCTCTATTCAGATCAGTGACTTCTGGGCCAGAGCTAGTCCGGGCTCCTTCGCTACGATGCATTTCGTCGCGACTGATCCAAACTACCCAAACGACACCCCTACCGACTGCAACTTGATCTGGTGAGTCTATTTGATTAAAAAGCCTTGAAAATGGCAGACGTTAACTGATATGGTTTAATATTAGGACATACGGGTCTTCGCCCAAGGAAAGCGCCCGATGCAACAATAGTCAATACTATATCCACTTCCCCGATGGTGCCGTGGACTTCAACCAGTTTACATTGGGACTTGAGAGGGTTTCAGGCCCGATTGCGGAGAACGGTCATGTCTTGCTGAGCTCGGGTACGCAGTGGTCCTGTGTGGACAACCCGGCAAACGATGTTCAGCTAAGCTGCTCTTATGATGGTGTTCTTAGTATGAGACGTGTCGACTGGTTGTTAAGTCTGTACGGTGTCAATGGGACCTATATGTATTCTACATTGGTAGATCTATGTGCAATCTATGAATAACTTCCTTTTCGATATCATACCTACAGGTGGTTGTATGTCTCTAGGCCATGTGCTGTATTCCCAAGACTTGGTGTCGGGTGACTCTCCCAGACAGAAGAGGAAGGCGCGATCCAGCCCTAGAAGGTCCCTTCCCAATTAGGTAGGAACTCGTCACCTACCCCGATTTCCCCAAATGCTTAAGCCACTACCAGGGTATAAATACCTCCTTCTCCCTTTTCTCTCTTCTTTATTTTTTTCTTTCTTTCTCTCGTCCTCCTACACATCTCTTCTTTCATTCGTCTTTTTGTCTGGACCTCCACTTCCACGACCTTGGCTTGCCTCCACAATGATTGCCTCCACAATGACCTGCCTTCTTGACAACTGTCCACCGTGACCATCATCCATGACAACTATCTGTGACAATTTTATGGACCATGACAACCTCCAGTCATGGTAGCTTTTTTTTCGTAGCAGTCTTTCATTGTGAGAACTCTCCACTGTGATCGTTCTTCTGTGGTATCTATTCATCCATTCTATAGAGATGAACTTGCTGACTCGTTTCTAGAAACCTTTATAGGCCCCCGAACCCCCAATACCTCCCTCCCTATTCCCCTCATCTCACCTCACAACAATTCAGCAGCCAGAAGCCGTTCTGGTCGACAGGCTTGCAGTGGAAGCACTCCGGCAGGTAGTTTCAATGCCACCTACTGCAAGTTTCCAGCAACTGGGCGTGGCCTCGCAAAGCGACTCAGTCGGCAAGCTTATGGTGAAAGCACTCCGGCCGGCAGTTTAAATGCCACTCACCATAAGGTGCCACGGGGCAGATCAACAACCGGGCGTGGCCTCACAAAGCGACCCGGCCGACAGCTTTTCGCCAGCTGTCGTGAACGAACAAATCTTGACTCATGTCCCAACGCCTTCCCATCCCCCATTTCACTTTTTCTTTTCACATTTCGAACTCAATGCTCAACCATCCTCCCACAAGCTGGCATCCACAACATCTCTATATCAAATACAATAACCAAGACCCACAACCTGGATTGGTCTTTCAAATCATATTTATTGGCCAACTCTCCACTTTCTCCACGTCAATTTTTGCGGTCTTATAACCATATACCACACACCTCTCTACCAACTGTCATGGTCATGGTCATTGTCACAAAAACCTAGATAGAGTGGGTTCGCAAAGTTGGGAAACAACCCCAAGAGCAACCAATAGCTAGCTTCATTGACATGTTCTGGTCGTTTTAATCAAGGTAACCAAGGTCTTTCCATTCTCGCCAGGGACGACATTGTGGGGGAAGTTTGGTAGCATTTGAGCATTATTTTCTATGTATTGAATATCAATGTATCTGTTCCTGCTCCATTCTTCCTCAGCAACCTTGATTTTGTAATTGCCGGCCGGTAAATCTCGGTCAACCCCAAGTAAAGAATGATAGAAGGCTGGAAGCTGGAATGAATCGGCTTTTTGTTCTCTGTAAATAAGACCTGGCTTGCCTTCTTTAGATACCTGTTTATATATCTGTGTATATGTAGGTGAAAGCAATAAAAAGTAGTTTCTGCAGATGAACTTTCTACATACATGTACGCATGTGGTTAAGTTATACATTTATAAGAAGCAGTCTAAGCCCTGGGGATAATCAGACACTCAGACATCAATAACCGAAAAGGGGGGTTCTGTCGCATGGTACCTATACCGCTGTGTACACGTCTCAACTTGCTCTAGGTTATACCGGAATGGGAATATATGAAATAGATAATCCATATATCAGTATGATACAGTGTGACAGCTAAAAAAAAGCTCTTCTTCCTCAAGGTCGGACCCATGTTTGATCCCAACGTCATCATTCACACTGCCTACGAACATACCTCTCCCGCACCGGATCACCTTCATGCGAGTGGACTACCCAATTCCCGATTCCAACAGCACCGGCTGTATCCCTTCTCCACTCCGACGAACCAAAAATCAAATTATTAGGACGGTAAGAAGGGTCCGACTTCATACGTTGGATAGCAGAGACATGAATTTGGGCATTCACTGGGATATCACGGGTCCGGCCACGCGGTGGCGGCCACCGCACAGCCTTCAACGCTCCATCAGTCTGCAATTCCATCCGTCGCAGAGGAAGATACTCCATCAGACGCCACGAGAGGACGGAAGTCAGTCGAAGACCGTTACCATACGCAAGGAGATCATGGATATGCCCTCTGGTGCCGGCCAGTTGAAGTGCCTCCAAGTACCTTTTGTGGGTTATCGATGATTCCGAGCTTGAGACGTTCCTCTTCGAGTTCGAAGCGTTTTTCAGATCGAAGTCATCATCGAATTCCTCGATGCACTCGTGCTGTTTCAGCTTTCTCGGGTCCAGTCGCAGTCCCGCGCGCCGTGCCTCTTGTACCATCCACACGAGAGGTGCGTGCGTTAATGGCCATGCCTCGTTAGATCCGAGATTCCATCCTCCACCAATGTCTGCGTGTCCGCCGGGAAACCACATTTCTTCGATATCCTGCGTGTCTTCATCGTCATCATCCGCTTCTATCTCCTGTTTCTTGCCTGGTACGCTGATATTTGGGATTTCTGGAAGAACGGGAGGTCCAGATGTGTGTTCGGGGTCATTGGTCGCTCTCCGCTTCTCGGGCTTCTTTTCATCTGAGGGTGTTTCACGAACCCAGTCATCTTTATGCGACTGCAGTAAGACCGGCCGGAACTTGATACGACGTTCATCAATGCTGACCGCATGTCGTACTACCTTGCTCGAGGTCCCCCCGCCAACATCAACCTCAAAGTCTGCAATACTATTGACCGCATCAAACATGCCCAAGAAGTGCATACGAGCCATAGGCCGCGACAATATCTCCCGACTATCTTTCATGACTTGAAAGGCCTTTCGCTTCTCTTCTCTGTCGTTATCCGTCCGGCTAAGCTTCCATGACACAAACGAATCCCATATAAAAGGCACCACTTCTTCATTATCCGGGCCGAGAAGCCCAACATAATCGAGCATCTCGTTCAAGAACCGCGCCGTGTATGCGCCACGCGAGAAGCCGAAAATGTACACTTTGGCGCCGGCTTGATAGTGGCGCATGAGGAATCGATACCCACCCAGAACGTGCCGATCGAATGACCGACCCAATGCGAGATTGAGCGCTTTGCTATTGTCCAGTCTGCCCTTCTTTTGGATCGTCGTGCTGGCCAAGGAACCCGGGGTTATGTCGGTGCCAATTCCCGCTGCTTGGTGTCAGTATCCTTGTGGTTATCTGGTGGATACGCTCATACGTTGGTAGTAACATACTGGCTTGCGGTTAGAAGGCTTATCTCGGTCTCAGGATAGGAGGTAAATCTTACGTTGCTCGTCGGACTTCTCTAACATGCGACAGATTTTTAAGACGTTGGTGTCCGTGCCGTCCGTACGGAAGGTATTTCCTGTGCCATCGAAGCACAAGACAATTTGTCGAGCTGACATAGTGCAGTCTGTTCCCAGATCCCGGAAGGATTCTGTTGAGTAAGGTTGGGGAACCCGCATTTATATGTGCTCGAGGCATTGTTTAGCGTTTGATCTGCCTTATATTTCCCCACTCATCGGCATAGTACGGCGACGATCATGGTGATCTTCGTCAGTTGAGGAACAACCGAATTGGTAAAAACGCCAAGCTGGGGTTAGTGGACACTAGTTCACCGAATCGGGTGTTGTGCAGTTGATCTACACGGTCATTGCTTGTCGACCTTTGAGCTTTAGCTGGTGGCTACTTGGCGTGTGACCAGTCTCACTCACAACTTGACAATATTGCAGTATAGGATAATACTCCGTACGTGGAGAAACAGCTACCCTTTTTCTTTATTATGAGATGGATGCCTACTCGGCTCAATCCCCAAATCACTGAATCCGGTCGAGTGTGAGGTATGTGACTAAAACTCTCTGGGGCAGAATTGAATCACCTTTGAGAAGCCCCAAGCCTTGCCAGTATTGATATTCAGTACGCCGGGTGTCACCATTTCGTTGATCTCCATCACCAAATTTCGTTGACTCCCAAGCAACCCAGCGAAGCGACCTTCTGCAAAGATTTATCGACACTGTCCATGGTAATCTTCGTTTCACCCATCTCTCCAATATGTCGAACGAGACTCGCTCGTCTTGCAATATTGCGTTAAAACCTGCAACTGCAAAGCTTCCACAGCCCCCCACTGATATTGCAAAACGAGCCATTGCCACTAATAATACGCTCGCTAGGCGCTCTGGTATCCACCGCAAGCCATTGAAGAACCCTATCCCCGTTGGGATAGCTTGGTGTATTCACTGATTCCGTATCGCGGTACGTAACACAGACTCCTACACCAAGAACTGCGCAGGTAATTTGGACTTGTGAAGGTAACATTCTGATTGGGCATACTGCTGCCTTAGAAGCGGTGCATGCAGGGAAGTTCATCCTCCCGGTTCACATCTATACTCCTGCAACCCATCCTCGAAGGGTAGTCGAAAGCATTTGATTCGGCGATTTCCGAGCTTCGGGTGTTACTTACACTAATTTGCTAGGCATGGTGATGCTATCAAACTCGGATTTCCAGCAAAGCAATTACCATCAGCTGCCTGTTGTCGGGCTGTTGTTAGCATTGGAAAATGGCTGTTTCTTGGGGCGTCCAGCTTGTCCATGTTGTATATTCTATTTTCGGGTCAATACGATTTCTTTTAAACTGCCGCCCAGATTCGTCTATATCGCTTAGGATGGTGATATAGCTCAGGCATCATGCGGTAGATCGGAGTTTCACCCAAATTACGACGTCTCCAAACCCGCACCTGCACCTGTAAATGGAAAGATTTTAGATTGGTTTGATATGATTGAAAAATTGGTATCACTAGAAATGATCAGTATATGTAATGAGAGTAAGAAGAAAGCAGTCCAGCGGCCAGAAATGAGTCTTCGTCTGCCCGGCAGACGATGCCAACACAGCGCCATTGCGTAACGCCTAGCCAATGACCCCTTTGGAAACATGGAATTACCTTGTCCCCAGATGTGAGAATGAATGCACGTTCGAGTAAAAGGAAGAAGGAAAAGAAAGGATATATGTACAAGAACAGTCCAAGGAGAACGAAAATGGCTGAAGAGCAAAAGATCAATCGAAGATATACTGCACCTCATTGCATGAAGACTGGAATGCTTTGAGGAGCTTGTTCACACGAGGTGTAATCCAACCAGACTGCGTGCCATTGGTAGCAACGCCCGCAAAGGTAGTAGAAGCATGTTTACAAACACCTTCGATGTGATTAAACGAATACTGCAAGCAGTCATCATTGCGCACGCAGACCTCCGCACAAACATCAAGCGTAGGAATCGTGCCAGCCGCAAAATCAATCTTGATGCCAGAGAGGTTGTCCCAATCGTCGCGTGCCGAGAAAGTCCCATCGTAGACAAGTTTCTGGTAAACGTCCGCATGCAACATGAGTGCGTTCTTCCCACTAGCAAAGAACGCCCGGTCAAACTCCCACATCTCCTCGATATCCGTCGGTGCCATGTGGTGATACGAGATGACAGGGTAACACCACGGCTGTCGCCCGTATCCCTCGGAGAAATGGTCGATTTCCCATGGCCGTGACGTCATCATCATCGGCCAGGCCCAGGTCAGATCAACGTGTACGTCGTGCAGCGCTCGCGCCAGCGCGCAGTCGCCTGCCCACTCGTGTGCGGTCATCGCTTCGAGATCTTCCTTTGCCCCAATCTGGTACTCGTGCAAGCGGTTCATCGTCCAGCTTGAGAGGACGATGCCTGCACCGCCGTAGCCGAAGAGTGTTTCGCCGATTTGCATCGGGCTGCCCAGGTAGTATTGTCGATCTGGGTCGAGATGTGCCAGCCAACTGATCAGGTTCGGCCACACCATGTAGGTGTCGGCTTCGAGGAAGACGTACCACTTGGCGTCCGGCATGACTTCGAGTGCTTCGTCGATCATTGGGAGGAATTTCCATTTGTCGAGCTTCCAACCTGGGTTGTTGACCTTGCCTAGTGGGCCGTTTGTGTCGTCACCCCATTCTTCATCTGTTAGGCCTTCGCGTCCGACTTCTTGTAGACGGCGGTAGATTTCAAATTCGGGCTCTTTTTTCATTGTTGACTCGCTGATGTTCCGGAGGACGTCATATGTGCGGACACCGTCAATGGTTTCTTCGTAGTCGGAGAAGATGGCAAAGTGTGGCACACATTCCAGCGTGGTGCGAAGGTGAATGGGGACTTTTTCGAGGGATTCCGTCGCGCCGGTTTTGATTACGACCATAACATCGTCGAGTGCATGTAGTAAATGGCCACATTTATCTTCCAATGTCTCCTCTTTGGAAGGGGGAAGTGGAGGACTTGTCTGCTTCTCCTCCCCTACCACAATTGTTTCCCCTCCGGCTTGAGGAATTTGTTCTGAGTTGTTCACAATTGTCGATGTGGATTCAGGCAGTCGAATGAGATAGTATATGAAGCAAAATGTAAGGATCGGAAAGACGACGAGGAGCCATCGTCGCGGAGAACCAGACATATTCGGATTGGGCGCTTAGGGACAATCTAAAAATCAAACAGGAACCGATGCCATTCAGCTAACGAAAGTAAGGAGGGTAACGAAAGACCAAAAAAGACGGAAAAATTGAATCAAACGCTTGATAGCACGCAAGAAAAGAAAAAGAAAAAAGGGTCAGTGATCGCTGTCCCTGAGCCAAACCAGTTCGACACTGCCTCCGCGTTAACAGCGGGCAATCCATAGGCCGGCAGAAATGATTCGGTCAAACTTCAGAACGGGGTAAACGGGGGATTTTTGATAGGCCAAGCGACAGGTTCATTGGGGACTGATCAGCAACCACGCGGCACATGAGCCAACTAAGCTGTGGCGTCTTTCAGAAAGCTGCCCCACGGGAAGCGTCATCGCTTGCGGGACTTTGCATGGTGAGGCAATGATCGACTGTGTACTCCTGTGGAGTGTTGGTTAGTGGGGGAAGATTCAGGAGGTGAAGATCAGGGGTACGTCAGGTCTCAAGTTTGAGATTGATGTCAATTAATCTGTAGGTACTCTGTATAGAGTAGAGCAATCAGCCATAGCGTTAAATAAATTAAGCATGAAACAAGGACGCCTGCAGACACGGACGTGTTCGGATCGGCAACGGGATTGAGGCCTTATTGTGGCCTGATTGAGGCCTGATTGTGGCCTAGGGGATAAGACATGAATCACGTGTGTTTCAGTTGAGCACAGACCAAATTTGGCACAAACGAGGGTCCAGTTGATCAACTGTCAACTCATACACCCATATTGTCTAGTCAACAAAATAACAAATAAATTCTATTCAATCATCACACATATTACAGCTATGTACACCTCAATTCAAGCTTTAGCTTCAGCTTCAACTCTAAACCGTCTTTTCCGCTCCCACAGGAACACAGGAGTGACAGTTAAAGCAACAGCCACACATAGAATAGCAGCCTGAATACCAAAGACCAGTCCAATCCCATTGCGCTGAATCCACGCAGGCTGGAAGTATCCCACCGCGAACCCACCGCAGGTGCGCCACATATTCAGAATAGCCGAGACACAGGTCGCCTGCTCTGGGTATTTTTCCAATGCGTAGGCCGAAATAGTACTGTGCAAATGACGTTAAAGACATGACAAAATACTCAACAGAGCGGAACTGAAACTTACACAATCGTGGCTACCATGCCGATGTTCACCATGATCCACCCAATGGCTATCCCAATCCAGTGCTTGCCGAAGTGCATGGTGAGTCCGTAGGTAAGGAGGCCGCTTGCCATGCTAGCTGTCGGAAACCAAACGCCGTGGAGGCGGAGATCCGTTCGCCAGGTGGAACTGTGGCGCTTGAAGATCCAGCCGTTGAAGAAGTGACCAGCTGTCCAGCCTGGGAGGATGGTGAGAATCTGGGGAGATGGAGAGGTCGTGAGGGCTCATACCACATAAAGCTCCAATCACACCGGCGAATCGCATCGATGATGCTTCGATCGTGTCAAACAAGTATGGAGGGCTGTGCAGGAAGGTATCGATGGTGGTTGTGATTCCTGGACAGTCAGCGGGTGGAGCAACGGTATGAGGGTGATGGTTACTCACCAATTGGCCAGGTAAATGTTACCAAAATAGCTAGGCCTGTTGACAAAATCCTGGTCAGTAAATGCCATCGCAAGCTATGTCGGCCATACCCACCAATCATTAACAGCGGGAACTTGAACACATAGACCACGACTGTTCGGCTCCAATATCTCAACGTCGATCCCTTGGGGAGCATGGTATTGCCAAAGCCAAGATAAGATGCGAGGCGTGACTGCTTGGTTGTTCTTCCAGGCTCATGGTATGTTTCATAGCCGAAGAGGATCACCATGGCCGTGGACACACCATAGATGGCTGTCAGGACTCCGAAAGAGGTGCGCCAGTCTGACCCAGCGCCGACGTATCCTGCTATCGCGGGACCGAGGAATGGTCCGACGAGGAAAGTGGTGCCCCTATTCTCAGTCAGTGCTACTCTAGTTAGAGTCGAGTGGCTAGTCTCCTACCAAATATTGATCATTCGCGGCCATTCTGTTGCCGGATCAGCGTCAAGTACTCGCGACAATCCCAGAGAAAGGGCTTACCAGCCGAGGTATACATATCATGAATGATCGGAAGTCCAATCACCTGAGGCACTGTCCCAAACAGACCCTGCAAAGAGCGGAATGTCGTGAAGGTAGACCAGTCATTGGAGAGGGTAGCACCCAACACCATGAACATGGTGATCACCTGAGGCCACAGCCAGATCGGCAAACTACAGCTGTCAGTGTGGTAGTAAACGTGGGTGAAAAGGGCATTAACTCACCGACCATATGCTTCGATGAGTGGAACAGCAAAAATTCCCCCAAACCCCTGCAGTAGAATCCCATAATTCATACTTGTCGCCGAATGAGCAATGCTAACATCCCAATCCATGGCCTGGTCCGTAACCAGCGTTCCACCCCAAACCATAGCCCTGCAAGATAGTCAGAAAAATTATGTATACATACACATCTGAGCTGGCAGCTGTGATATGCTTGGCAATCGGTCAAACATACCCATCTGCTAACAACGAGCTCGTCATCAGTGACACAAAGAGCATCGTCTTCCGGGCCGAGGACCAGTTCCTAGGGTTCAGGGGATCCCTGGCCTCGACATCTGAAATGGAATATTCTCCCTTCAGTTCCTGTACGCCAAGCGACGACGACGCACTGGCTGCCATCTCGTGCGTAGAGTAGACCTGGGAGGGTTTCTCCATGGTAGATATGTTCACCCTTCTTCGCTGTATCCCGTATAGTGTGATAAAGAAACTATGCAACAGCAGATTTGAGTCAGGTAAGGAGGTCAATGGAGATCTTTTTTTCTTTTATTGTGTGACGGGGCACTGCAGGTTTTATGCATGGCCGGGTTTTTTTTTGTTTTGTTTTTTTATCACACATGGGGGATACTCGCGTGGCTTTTGTCGCCCAGGGAGATTCTAGAAAGTAGTTCTTAAAAATTAGGAGAGATCAGATATCCATAACTTCCGATTTGGATCTGTTGAAAAGTCTCCGGAATCTATAGTGGATGTATCACAAAGGTAGATCGGCCCTAGTAGATCCTTTCACCTTCAGATAATTCGCTAGTTACTAGGCAGTTTTGTTTATTGGTTTATTCTTTATTCTTTTTTGTTTTCCTCTTGTTCAGCGTATTGCCGCAGCATTGCATTACCGTTTCTTTGTCTCAATGTGATATGATATCCCTTGCGCATACCTACCCTGGTCATGTTAGACCAATAACCTTCCAAGGACTACAATCCTCCCATACTAATAATGGATCGGGGATTATGGATGGTATTGTAATCTGCTAGTATTTCAGGCAAGAATTATCTTCATCGTATTCTCATATTAGGACCGGAATCCGTGCGGGCCATCGAATGTTGTACATGTACGGAGTAGATATTTAGAGAGTATAATGCAGAGTATACTTCCCTACCATCTTCATGCTCAAAAAAAACTTCTAACTCCAATCCCCAATGTCTTTTCTAACCCGCCTAGCCAGCTTACTGGGCCTGTCATCCCCGGCCCCCGCCGTTGCACCCCCTGGGGCCGCCCTGGCAGCAACTGTCACAGTAGTGAGTACGAAAAACCTATCAGACAGGCTTCTAGCTAATTTAGTCACAGCCTGCATCGTTAGGATTTGTCCCGGTCGCGATTCACTTTGATCTCTTCAATATCCTCGTGGGTCATGACGGACCCGCGACAGCCGATGAGATATCGGCGATCTGCAATGCACGTATCAAAGTCCGAGGGGAAAATGAGCCTGAGCTGAGTACGTTGAGTTTGAACGGCTGGTGGCTGTCATGGCTGTTATACTAACAATGAATATAGGTACCAGATTAGCCTGTAAGGACACCCATGTATTGCTAACAAGTACACCAATACTAAACTCCTTCCGCAGCGGACACACTGTACATCATGGCCGGGCTCGGTCTCGTCGAGCGCGTGGCCGAGGATTGCTTTACGGCAAATGCCATCACAAACCACATGGTTGCCATGCCGTCCGCCCAGCATGGCGCACTGCACTTGTCAGTCCCCCCCCACCCCATGCATGCCTGGTTTCTATTCCCAAAACTACATAATCTTCCAGGCGTGCACTAACCCCCACCTAGCACCACGGAAGGTCTAATGGCCGGCGCATTCTTGATGAAAAAGCTCCAGGACACCCGCTTTGCATACCCCTTTGCCGAGGCAGACGGCCCCTTACAATATGCCTATCGGCTAATGGGCCAGTCCGAGCTGGCGGAGCAGCATACGTACTCGATCATGGAGACCCAAGGTCGCATGGATAGTTTCAACCATTTCATGGTCGGCAAATTCCTGAAGTTCGGGACTTTCCCCGAGCGCGTCAAGTCGATGGGTTATGATTTAGATGGCGCGTTGGCAGGTGGCACTGCCACTAACACCAGTACTGGCTCAGCTACTATGGTCGATATCGGCGGCGGTCGTGGCGAACTCCTCCTTGAGGTCCAGGCGGCGTACCCGCATCTCGGCGCCGAGGATCTAATTGTGCAGGAGTTCAATGCCGATATTGATAGCGTCCCTGGAGTGCGGCTAATGAAGTGGAACTACAAGGAGGAGGCTGAGCAGCCTGTTGGTGGGGCCTGTATTTACGCGCTGCAGCATATCTTGCATAATTTGCCTGATTTAGATGCTACGACGTTGCTGCAGAAGATTTCGCGTGCTATGGCGCCTGGTTCGCGGGTGTTGATTATTGAATATGCCAAGAATTTGACTTATACTTCGCTTCATGCGAGTATGATTGCGTTGTATGGAGGCCGAGAGAGGAGTTCGGTGGAGTGGAGGCAGATGGCGGGTTTGTGTGGGCTGGAGGTGACTTTTGAGGTTTATGTTAAGGCTGGAGAGTCATTGGTGGAGATGAGGAGGATAGTTCAGGGCCGATAGAATACCTAAATCTAATTAGTGGCTTCGTTCCTAATATTCCTAATACTTGATTGTTAATGGGATGTATCATTTCTCCCCCTAATGTATACAGATCACATCCCTTCAATCGCTTCGCTTATCCGAGGCTTATGGTTTTTATCTCTCGAACCCATAGGCAGATCATTGCAGATCCGATCTAAGGCTGTATCGGACCCATCAATTCCACATGAATACGTACTTGATGTGTTTTCTTTTTTTTCATTCCTCGTCACATCCCTTACTGCAGATCGTATGGCCACTTGCGTAGTTTCTAACCCCTTCCACCAGGAATGTCGCCTGTGCTTAATCCACATGGCCCTGGAAATGCGACCCTGTCCATTGCCACGATCTTTTGATCGCATTTTCTAACCCCCGGGTTAGCCACGCGAGTTCGATTCCTGTCAGAACTTGACGTACATGACCCGTATCCAGGGTATAATGCTCCATATCATTCAACGCATCCACAGCTCGCTTCCCTTGACCTGATTGATTTTCCTATGTCAAGCCACTCGTTTACATCACATCCCTTGTTTTCTCTCCATTCACTCTTTTTATACGCACCTCTCCACCCGATAGACGAGGGTCTAAATAGGCTTCTGACCTGTAAATCAGTTCGCGCGAGAGACTTCGACGTGGTCTCCATTCTTGAGAACCTTCAAGGACAATTTGGAACCTTTACTCTGCTAGTACTTGGTTCTGGATTGGATTTGGGTTCTATTTCTTTTTACTTCTGATCCATCTAATCAACCCCGCGCATAGCTCTCTTCTTGTATCCTTGCTAATGAGTATTTGAATTGGCTCTCCGCACTATAATCGAGAACCTGGTAAATACTTGGCTACTTGACTCATCTGGTCCTTGTGTTCCATCTTCATCATGGATATTCCAAACCCTGGTGAGGGCGATGTTAACCTCGGTATGTTTACCTCAAGGCAAAGGCCAAGCCAATGGACCTAAAACATCGTGGATTGATATGTTTGACAGGAACTAGCACATTTCAGGCTTGTTGGGTATGCTATCCTCGGGTCTGGATTGCCTTTGCATATGTATATACTAATCCTCAAGCAGGTCCTAACAGCCATTGTCGGCGTGGCATTGTTGTTCCGCTATGTCACCAAGGCCTGGGTTCGCTGGGCCTTACCGCAGGTTACTGCACCCGGCCGAATCTGGGGTACAGAGGACCTGTTCTTCCTTGTGGCTTGGGGTTTTGATGTCACCCATATGATATTTATTCAAATGAGGTGAGATTGACTTTTGTCCTGTCGTTACTCCATGCCAAATCCTAACTCTGTCTAGTGCCAACTGGGGCCTTGGAAGGCATTTCTTCTACTTGACTAATGAAGAGCGTCTTAATGCTATGAAATGGGATTTCCTTTCACAGCCGCTCGCTGTCACTTCGGCGATGATCTCACGCGCAGGGATGATGTGGTTCCTTTTGACTTGCTTTGCAGCGAGCGACAAGAAGATTCGCCTTTCCATTATTGTCTGTTCTGTTGTTCAGGTTGTCGTCAATATGGTTACAATCGTCCAGATTATTGTCCAGTGCGGGCCGAACCCATATCAGACGGTCCGTATCCTCCTTCTTAGTGCTTGACTCATTCTAATTCTATCGCAGACTAACCGAGTCCAATACTTCCACTATATGTGGACACCACTCCCTGAAGATGGCTCCGTTAAGTGCCAATCACCGACTGTCCAGACAACTGTTGGCTTTGTGCAAGGGGGTATGTGAAATGATCATACTTAAGCTCAGCGCGAAGCTAATTACAATTTCTACAGGATTCAACACTGTCATAGACTTCTTCCTTGCCGTGCTCGCTGCAGTCGAACTCTGGCAATTCTTCCTGCGAACCCTTCACCGCAATCCACACACCTCATTCTGGTCTCAATTCTGCAAAATCAGTGGCACCGTGCGGTCCCGCCGGATCTGGCAGACCATCACTCTCAGCGGACCACTACTCCTCTCCGGCTGTGCTTCTATTGTGAAAACTTATGTGAGTAAACTGTTGTTTCCCAAGTTATACAATAATGCTAATATCATGCACCAGAAACTCAAATCCCTCGGTGATAGACAAGACTTCACATATAATATTGTGACCTTCGTTCTCTGGGTGAAGTAAGTACAACCACTGTCTCCCAGCCCTAACTGCATTAACTAACAACCACAGAATCGAGAACTACAGCATCCTCCTCGCCTCATGTGCCCCAGTAGCCCGCCTCTTCCTCCGCTCATTCGTCGACCACAGACGCGAAGGCCGCAGTCACGGCTACTGGTCTCGCTCCCGATCAACAGGCCACAACGAGCCTGACACGGAGCTGAAACGCCGCGCCCAAATTCAAGATCAGTGGCTGGATTCGGTTACGGCGGCTAATATGACCAATGGCAATGCTTGTATTAAGGATGAGGAGGATCAGTGGAATGGGCATAAGCATGAGCGCTCGAGTAGTCGGATTTCGAGGGCAGATATTCCCGAACACCTTGATGATAATCGTGTTACTGTTAAAACGGAGATTGTTGTTCAGGTTGATGACAGGAGGTCGATTTCTTCTGGTGGCACGAGGTTGTTACCTGATGGGGGCGAATCTCATTCTACGGGGTTTCATTGATTTACAGTATATGAATCTCTAGTATATGATAATGACTTGGATGATACTTTCCCCCTTTCCTTGCTATCCTTTAATCGTGGAAAGGCAGACGGTGGCAAATAACGAGAGACTCTGCGATCTGATTGCACCGGGTGAGGAAATATATGGAATGTATGTCCTTTTCGTACAAATATCTGACAATTGAGAGGACTA